TAGGGAAAAAAGAGAAAGAGATGTTAATAGGGTTGGGAATAAGGAGAACCAAAAGAGAGTCGAGCAAATCTGAAGGGAAGAAAGTAGCACATAATGGAGAATCAGATCACCAGTGGCATGTCCCGGCCTCTTAAGAGGTAACAATCACAGAAGCAGCACCCCCAAGCCCCGTGTGGCTGAGACTGATCAGATCAGCATGATTGGAAAACTGCTGGCACACAGAGACCACCTTCCTCAAGGATGATCTTGGGGGTGGCTGAAGGACGTACCATGGGGGGGGTAAGACATTTGGTCCCCCTCATCGTCCAAAACCAACACATCCACCTCTTCCTCCAGAGATTCCTGCCCCTCGTCCTGCTGTGAACACATGCAACGTGTTAGTATGAGAGTAAGAAAACAGGAACCTCATGAGTGCGTGCCAGATCTAGGGAAAATCCCCAAATTTGTAAACTCAAACAAAACAAGGTCATAGTAAGTGAAGGGCAAGGTATCCAAAAACAGGCAGGAACAGAAAGAGAGTAATGCGAGAATAGACCAGTTGGCATTAGTCACATAAGCAACACATTTATAGCCTTCTTTCTCCCATCTCGACCATCACAGAATAATGGCACAAGAAATCCCAACGTGAATCAAAACTCCTACTTTTTCCCTGAAAACCCCTACAAGAAAAGGTGCTGTCTTTCACTAAGTACTTTTTTCCTATTTCACAGAACACGCAGGCTTCAAAACAGAACTAGCCTCAGAAGGACAATAGTATATAAAGAGAATTTACCATCAGGGGCGTTCCCTTCAATGGCTCCATTTCGCCTAGATCCCCGGATCGATCCAGTGTTCTATTGTGGTCTCCTCTCTCATTCAGTGTGGAATAGTTGTTATCTAGTTTAAAAAAAAAAAGAAGTACAGAGACATGATGTTCCCCTCTAGTGTAAAATATGTATTAAGCAGATAAATGTGATTTAGGCACCTCTTTAGTAAAGCATTTGAGCTTTACCAAAGGCATTACGGTCAGGTGGTCCTTGACATAAAAAAACATCTAACTGGGAAGGCAAAATATATCATATATGATAATAAAGCTAAACTGAAGAGATCTATGAAGGGTACTGGAATTAGGAGAAGATAGTGAGGTGAGCTGCAATAGTTAGGAAGGACCTAACAAAGTAGACAGGAATTCAGCCAAGCCTTTGGGGATGAAGACCATTTACAAAGCAATTGGGAAGGACATTCCAATAGGAGGTATTACAAGAGCAAAATGAAAAAGTATAGAGTGAAGAGACAGGATAGCAAGTAGACTAGGTGGGCTCAAACAGAGTATATGGAGAGTAAGACAGAGCGAACCTGGCGTCAGACTGTGAAAGGCTGTGAGCCACAGTTTAGGGACACACACTTGATTCTGTATTAATGGGGGAGGCATATGAAGATTTTTTTTTTTTAACCTTTGAGCATTTGGGAATGTGGAAAAAGGTAGACAGATCAGGTTTTACTACATTTCCTTGAATCCTTCCCAATGGAATGTCCAGCCAGTGTTCTTCCAGGAAGATGAATGGTGCAGGTGCTGGAAAGAGCTGCAGAGCTAGATAGTTCTCCTCATCCCATATAATAATATGGATTACTCCATATCCTTAGGCAGGAATTAATCACCTACCTAATGATTTTGTGTTTGATCCCATACTGCTCATCTGAATTTCTTCCCGATCAGGTTTCTTATCTACAGGGAGTCAGAAAGTTATCCAGGTCAAAAACCAACTCTTCAAAATCTAAACTCATAAAAATTGCTCTCTAGTCTGTCCTCCCTTCCCCGTCCCTCCCATCAAACTTTTACTAAGCACCCCCCACAAGTGCCAGGCTCTAGACAAAGCCCTCATGGGACTTAAAAGAGATCCCTTTCCTACAGACTCTAACATAAGAAACAATTCACTCTAAGCCAGCAGGTTTCAAATTATTTGGTCTCAGGGCCCCTTTATATTCTTAGAAGTTATGAGGATCCAAAGAATGTTCACTGGTATAGATTACATGTATTAATAGCTACAGTGCTTTTAAATATTTATTTTATTTAAAATTTATTTTAAATATTTATTTCATTTAAAAAAACAATAAACTTACTCCGTTAACATAAATACTTTTAATTTTTTTAAAAAAAGCATTTTTTACATTTTTGCACATATTTAAAGTTTGGTTTAAGAGAAGATAGCTAGATTCCCATATCTGCCTCTGTATTTAATCTGTTGTGATGTTATTTTGGATGAACATAAATGACTCACTCTGCTGTACAGCAGAAACTGACACAGCATTGTAAGTCAACTATACTCCAATAAAAAAAAAAAGGATAAAAATTAAAAATGTTTTTTTCTCACCAGAAAGTAAAAACACAAAGAAAAGAATCAAACTGATTCTTATTTAGTAGCATCACAGTGGACAGTGTACCAAATTGTTCAAGATGGCTTTATAAAACGTACACACTTATTAAAAAAAATAAAAAGCACTGTTTTACATTTTTGCACATCTTTAAAGAGAAGATAGCTAGATTCCCATATCTGCCTCTGTATTCAATCCGTTGTGATGTTATTTTGGATGAATTATATAAAGAAAATCCAGCATCACACAGTTAAGAAGCTGGAAAAGGGAGGAGAACTTTATTAGTCTTTTCAGATAATTGTGGATATTCTTTGATAGTATAATACTCGACAAGCAGAGTTTCTTTAAGGTCAGTGCAATAAGGAATCTGAATCCAAACTAATGCCCTCTTCAGTCTGTTAAATTAGTATCTATTGGTCTGTCTTACACTTTGAATGGATCAGTTACTCATGCATGATTTTGAAAATCATGCACTGGTCACTTGGAAAATACTGGTTCACAGAGTTATACAGATTTTCTAAATGTTAACACATTTCATGATATAATATCAAAAAAATCACATTCATTAACATCGCCACTGATTTCATTTAAAAGTATATTAACTATTGGGATGTTACCAGGCTCACAGTGACAGACACAAGTCTTCCAAAATTAAAATTTTCGGGCTTCCCTGGTGGCACAGTGGTTGAGAATCTGCCTGCCAATGCAGGGGACACGGGTTCAAGCCCTGGTCTGGGAAGATCCCACATGCCCGTGAGCCACAACTACTGAGCCTGCGCGTCTGGAACCTGTGCTCTGCAACAAGAGAGGCCGCGATAGTGAGAGGCCCGCGCACCGCGATGAAGAGTGGCCTCCGCTTGCCGCAACTAGAGAAAGCCCTCGCACAGAAACGAAGACCCAACACAGCCATAAATAAATAAATAAATAAATAAATATTTTAAATAAATAAAATAAAAATAAAATTTTCACTTGAAAATTCAGGCAGTTATTTTTCCTCAAACTGACAAGCTCACTGCGTTCATTTTCAAGAAAATGTCTGCTATTTTTTAAAGTAAAAATAGTGTTCCAAAAAAAAAAAAAAAGTGGTTAGTGTACCTACTAACTCCAACAATAGCACAAGTGCTTTTCCTCAAGATAACCATCATGCTTTGGTATGCTGCAGGGTGCTTTATGAGTACCCCCTATATCATCAACACAGGATATTAAAAAGCTGTGTACTCAAGAGCAGAAACAATAAAATTAATATTGTTGCAGTTCCATCAAGTACATTCTTAAGTGAAATTGGCTCCTTTATTTCCCCCTACCCTCCCAAAACTGGCCCTTCTTATAACTGCGAGTACATGGCAACGAAGACTACAACAACTAGTTTGGTTTGGTGTCATCGCCCTGGTTTACACTCAGCCTCCAGCAATAAAGCACCACTGCTGCTTCTGCACCATCAGCACAAATGTCAACAGATTTGGTGATCCTCAGACTACATTTTAAGAACCCTGACTGAGGCAAAACCCAAGTGTCATTAAGATAAAAAGGGTTATAATAAGCACTAAATATATGATTTGTCTTTTGAAGAAAAATGTATCTGCTCACATGGCAGTGTTTAAAAGATATAGGAGTGGTTATCTCTGGATAACAGAAATAAGTGACTTTTTTGTTGTCATTTTTCTGGTTTGTATTTTCTAATTTTTCAACAGTAAACACATACTACTTGGTATTATATGAAAATTTAAAAGGGAAAAATAATCATTTCGCAATATACAGATCTTCCTCAGACTTACAACGGGGTTACATCCTGATAAACCTATCATAAGTTGAAAATGTAAGTTGAAAATGCATTTTAATACACCTAACCCACCAATCATAGCTTAGCCCAGCCTACCTTAAACGTGCTCACAATACTTACATCAGCCTACAGTTGAACAAAATCATCTAACACAAAGCCTACTTTATAATAAAGTGTTGAATATCTCATAATATAATTTATTGAATACTGTACTAAAAGTGAAAAACAGAATGGTTGTAAGTGTATCGGGTGTCCACCCTCATGACTGCATGGCTAACTGGGAGCTGCAGCCGATGCTGCAGCATGAGACGCTGTCCCACCATGTTATCGCTAGCCAGGGAAAAGAGCAAAACTCAAAATTTGAAATGCAGTTTCTACTGAATGCACATCACTTTTGCGCCACCACAAAGTCGAAAAATCATAAGCCAAACCATCGTTAAGTCAGGCACTATCTATACACATATGTCAAATCATGCTGTACATCTTAAATTTATACAATGTTATACGCCAAGTATAGCTTAAATACAGAAAACAGAGTAGGGTTCACTCCCTGGTCATTTTAAGTCCACAAGCAAAGATGGGGGAATCACACGCAGGCTAACTGCCTGTCTTATTTTCTAATGCTCAGGTCTACCAGCTTCTGGGTTATAATCCTGAGGTGAAGTATTACTCTTCCTCCACCAAAAGACAAGCTCATTCAGAAATAAATGTATATCCTATTTCACTAGATGGTAAGCCATCTAAGGAAAGAACAGCAGGAGAATAGCAGAAGTGGAATAAAAGCAGAGGGGTATGTCCCCTGATTACTGTACCTGATTTCTGGTTCCGATCAATGAGAAGGAGAGTGCTATCATCATATGAATGACTGCTCTGGCTTCGAGAAGCATTGTTTAGATTCACCTGGAGGCAAACAAAACACAATAAATAATGTCACAGAGTACTGAATTCACCCTTATCTTATTCCTTAATGGGCTCAGACTTTTAGGTCCTTATTCCCTAATACGATTCTTACCAAAAGGTAACTCGGTAAGAGTTAAATAAACACCTATATAGTGAAACAAAACTAGGATATTAGGGCTTCCCTGATGGCACAGTTGGTTAGGAATTCGCCTGCCAATGTAGGGGACACAGGTTCGAGTCCTGGTCCGGTAAGATCCCACATGACGCGGAGCAACTAAGCCTGTGTGCCACAACTACTGAGCCTGAGCTCTAGAGCCCGCGAGCCACAACTACTGAGCCCGGGTGCCACAACTACTGAAGCCCATGCAGCCTAGAGCTTGTGCTCCCAACAAGAGAAACCACCACAATGAGAAGCCTGCACACCACAACAAAGAGTAGCCCCCGCTCGCCGCAACCAGAGAAAAGCCTGCTTGCAGCAACAAAGACCCAATGCAGCCAAAAATAAAATAAATAAATTTAAAAAACAAAAAAAAACTAGGATATTAGGCTTCCATTTATGTTCTGAACAGATTACAAAGGTATCAAACACTCACGCTATCAAGGAGATACAGTCTCAGAAAATGACAATTCAGAAAATGGCAAACTCCTTCAAAGGGCTAAGGCAGATTCGGAGAAAAGTCAAAAAAGGCCATCATCCTTCATTACCACTGGCGTTTACACTGTGCTATGACACAGAGGAAGACCAGAGCTATTTCAGCAGCAACTGAACTATAGGCACCATTTTGGGGGAAAAGTTAATAAATGATTTCTTTACACACAGAGACTTGGGGCAAAAGTAGACTCAGGGGAAGTTCCCTGGTGGCCTAGTGGTTAGGATTCAGTGTTTTCACTGTGGAGGCCCAGGTTCAATCCCTGGTTGGGGAACCATCCCACATGCCGCCAAAATACAAAAGAAAAAAAACAAAAAAGTAGACTCAGTGTGACAGTGAAATAGAAGAACCAAAGACAAAAGCATTATCTGAGACCAAGGGGAAAAAAAGGTGAACGTCTCAGTCCCAAGAGTTATTCTACCTGAAAGTCTGACTTCTTCCATCCTTCTTTTTCCAGTGGCTTCCGCAGTTCCTTATATCCCCAGATTGTCTGTAATACAAGCGCTGCTGCTCGAACTTCTTTTTCTGAGCGGTTCCTTTTGAGGAAAGGAACACCAGATGGAATTTGGATGTAAGACGAGGGAAGAAGCTGAAAACCTGTATTCTCTAATATAATGTAACGTAAGAATATAAATCCCCAAACGGGCAAGATCAAGTATTCACCGAGTCCCATATTTTAACTCAAACGGTGACACAAAGAAATGTTTGATGTAAGAGTGTTATCAATTTATGGATCAACATTAAGACAGAAAAAAGAGCAATACCTCTTCATACTTTCCATGTAAATAAGGGAAAATGACCTTAAAAAGCAAAAGGGGAAAGCCCCTTCCCAGCAACCCCTCTCTCATATTCAAATTTTTCCAGTTGTAATTTTAAGTGTTAATCTCACCCTGATTTGTTGATCAAAACCAGCTTCTCAATACCCTGCGTTTCTCGAAGCTTTTTGGCAGCCTCCAAGTTCTCAGCAATAACTTCATTGATGGTATTCAAAACAGAGACCACAGTGTCCTCAGAGAAATTCTGGGAAGAGCTCTGTTGCCCTCCTGGCAGATTCTTTACCAAGTTAGGAATAGCATGTTTACCTATAGCGGTAAGACAGGAGGAATGTGTGCATGGAGAACAAGCTGAGTCAGGTTGTTAGGAGCCGAACACTACACTTAATCGCATTGTTCACATCAAGCATAGATACTATCCATATGAATCAACTTCATTCTCCTGTAGGATTATCATTTCAAAAGAGCAAAGGACCTGGAATAGCCATGGATATATTGTCCTTCCTATTCTTTTATTTATTCTTTCAGTCACATTAAAACAATCTGAATACTTTATATCAAATATGCTACACAGTCCATTCAGAGAGTCTAATGAAAACAGTATACTGAATACTATACTACTGAATATTATACTACTATTATAGCTTAATAGAAGAGTCATTGTGAATTTGAAAAAAACAAAAACTGGGCTCTGTCACTTATGAGCTACATTAACTCTGGACAAATTACTTAACTTCCCTGACCCTCAGTTTCCTTATTCTAATAAAAAATTTTAAAAAAAAGGACCCTTGTAAAGTGGTAACATTTAAATGAGAATATACAGACATGTTTAACAATCCCTAGTAACAAAGTACATGCTCGATAGATATTATTATTCTATTTTTGAAGAGTCAGCCCCTCTTGTCTTTCCAAGAACCATTAAACTATAACTTTCTCCGACCCCCAGATTCACAAACTATGGAGGACTAGGATTCTTCCTCAGCCCTTTCAACAAATAAATTATTTAGCACCTGCTGGATTAACAGTGCTGTACTAGATGCTAAGGTAACGGCTAACATCCAGCTCCTCACCAATTAATTCTTTGTTGCGAGCATCCACAGCCAGATTTCTCAGTGCTCCAGAGGCAGCTTTCACGACCCGCTCATGTTCATTGGTCAGGAGGTCAGCAATGGCAGAAAGAGCCTTCTCTTGACGCAGAGCTGAGCGGATATATCGACCATACTACAAGTAGCACATGGAAAGAAGTAGAACAGATTACAAATGGTAGCAAACTAGTTAGCTAAGTCCTCCCATCTCCAAATCCATTTTGTAAAAGGTACTCACTGTCCAGCGCCCAGCACACAAGTTCTGGATGGCCCCGGCTGAGGCTTCTAGGATGGCAGGATTCTTGCTCTCCTTGAGGAGTGAGATGTATATCCGAACCACCTCTGGCTGAAATAAAAGTTCATAGCCTGCACAAGAAAGGACAAGAAAGCAGAGGATGCTTATCAGTACCTACAAACCAGGCTCTGGCTGGTTGAACTCCAGTGTTAGTACCCTGGATTAATGGGTTTATGCTCCTATACCAGTAGACACTCTAAACCCTCCCACCCACCCAACAGCAAACTCAAGAGATCTGACTACTACATCTGATGTAGTCAGATGTAGCCTTAAGAATGTAGCCTTAAGAATAAATCAACCATGGCAAGAGCAAAACAGATTATCAACTCGTATGCAACTCCTGTCTCTCTCTCCTCCTAGCCTCTTCTCTCCCATAGTTTACTTTGACCTTGCTTGGCACTCAAGGGATTCACTTACTCATCGAGAGTACTCAGAGTTAAAGATTCCTCATCTCAGATGAATTATTTCTAACTTGAGTCATTCTGCCCACCTGAACTATGATTAAGTGAAAGGGGCTCAAATTTAATAACATCTGAATTTTTATATCCATGGAGAGCTGTGAATTTTGGACTCACCATATTGATGAATATAAAGATCCAAACTGTGATAAAGAGACTTCTTATAACAAGTAAAGTTTGAGTCCCAAGAACTAGTGGCTACTTAGGGTACTTAAGTTTCTGGCCTAGACTACCATCAGGTCCTTATCCTCAAGTAATCTGAACAGTTGCCATAACAAGAAGTCCTTTGAAAGTTACTGTTATTAGTTTCCAAATACTTTTGTCATCACTTCAAATCCTTAAGTCAGAGAAGACAGAACAGTGAACGTACTGCATAGCCTACTGTTAGGCTGCCAAACACCTATCTGTGGACTATGTTTATGAGCTCTATGGAGCCTGAGAAGAAAAAGATAACTTACCTCGAGCAGGACTAGTTCTTTTAGGGAAATCCACTGTATCATTTGTTGGATCCTCTGTGGGTTTTTTCCCTTTGGAAATTAAAAAAAGGGGGAAGGGGTAAAAAGTCTGAGAAAGGGAAGAGTCCACCCAGTATATTTTTTTATTCTTCAGTCAAAATCTTTGGATCAGAGATGCATCAAGAGGGGCATAAAACAAGAAAACAGACAAACAAACAAAAAACCAGGATCCCCAGCTTGTCCCTATCAGATACAAGAACAGAAAACAGGCAGCATATGGGTAAGATAAGGATAACCGCTACTGTTGCTGCTGTCCTGAGTTCTGATAACTGGGGCTGCTGTCCAGAAATAGCATGCCATGAGCCATTAGCTCAGAAGAGCTAAACTTGTTTCAGTGGCCATCCTCAACTGAATTTTCCTACATGCATCCACAGGGAAGGGTTAGGCAAAGAAATACCAGGGAAGCTAAAACCAAAACATGCAAATTAGAAGTAGGTAAGCGCCTTAAAAGATTCCACTCACCTCTGGAGAACCACTCATCTTCCAGTGCATCACCCAAGGTGGAAAGTAGAGGAGAGAAATGAAGGAAGAAAAATGCAGCAGAGAGATGTCAACAGGATCATGGGAAAATAAGCAGGAAAGCAGAGAGGAAAAGAAAAACACAGGAAACACAAAGGAGGAATGGGGGAGAAGGCCCCAGATTAGTTGAGTTCTCGGCCTTCACTGCCCAATTACTGATATCAATACCACCACCACCACCACCACCACCACCACCGTCACCACCATGAAGCACACGACACAGGGGGAGCAGCAGCAGAGCAAAAAGACATCCTTGACTAGGCTGATTCCTGTACCTGCTCAGCAAGTATTTTGTACCTAAAGCTAAAAGTGTTCCTTCCTCTCCCCATCCTTACATTAAAGAGCAAGGAACAAGGAATCAAGACTCACCTTTGCCTTTCTTGGCCCCAAAGCAACTGGCAGCATGTGGCCCAGTACTGCTGGCAACATTGGGAGGTGCCTCTTGGTAACGTTCTGCTTGTGGGATTTCTCGGTGAACTTGATACGACAAGTTCCGAAGGAGGCAAACACAGTTCTCCACAAGCTTGGGATCACAAAATACAAGGTTCAATGAGAGAAGAGAACAAGTATAGTGATTTCCTAGCAAGTACAGGCTTCCATGATTCACGTATTAAAACACTGATCCTCAAAAGCACAGCCCAATTCATCATCTCTCACAATACCTCAAGTGCCCACGCTTCTCAGAATTCTTGTAGCCTCAGGCTAACAGAAGGTTTCTGCTACCATTTGGTGTGTTAACACAAAAACTCAGGCCCACTCTGACTTTTTTCCTAATTAGAAAAAAATGCAAGTATGGCTAAACAGCTTTAAAATACATAGGTGAAGGAAATTCTAAAGAAAAAGTTTTCGTCTATGGTGAACACCCACTTTAAGGAGTGGGGGCTGGAATAGGTATCTAATATTATTTGAAAGCCTGAGATGATAGGTCTGCACTATGGGTACCTCATGGTTGTTGTGAATGGAATTCTCACCCATTAACCTACCTTGCTGTCTGAATCTTTCTGTCCAATCTCAGCCTGAACAATGAAAATGAGAGCATCCACCAAACCGTCACATTCCCGAAGTTTCCGGCGAGCTTCACTCCTCTCCGAGCTGACATTCCTGAGGCAAAAAGGAGAGGCTTCAAGATGACTAAAATCTAGAAACCCTCTCTTAATATCCTTAACATCTACAAGCCTCCTTAATATCTTTTCTTTTCACTGTAACAAATGAGTACCTGTTACAAGGAAGGCACTGGAGTTGACAGAAAGTTGAATAGAACAGTTCCTGCTTTCAGGACATTTATAACCAGGCCAGGGAGGGGGGTGTATAAATAAAGTATACCAACAACAATAATTTAAGACAGAATAGATACTTCTTGTATGGAAGTACAAGTGAAGAATAGGGGCAGAGCACATAGGGGTATATTCCAAAGAGGGAAAGAATACATTGCACATTTACAGGGTATTAGAAAAAGAAATCAGGAAAACTTACATGAAATAAAAGCACTTGAGTTTAGCTTCAAAAGATAAATAAGCAGAGAAAGGCACTGCAGACAGAGGAAGAGCTCTCCCTCACTCTATCTGTCTAGTAGTTTGTACTCCATTTGTTGCATTTATTGCAGCCTGACTTGAAATACAAATACTTGAAGGCAAGAACACAGGTACACACAAGCCTAGGACTAGACGACTGCCTTACGTGCAGCAGGTACTGAACAAATGTTTACCAAATTATATGAACAAAGCCAAAGAGGCATAGAAGTGAGGAAGATATGCGGTTTACTTGCCATTCCCCACATAAGGCATATATGGTATGCAAGGGAGCAGTGACAAAGGTAGAAAAACAGGTTGAAGTCATAGTATGCAATACAAATAGGAATGGAGGCTGAGTGACAGGCTAAGGAATTTGAACTTTTTTAAAAGCAATTTAAGTTAGTCTTCAAAAATTCAATCTTCATACTCTCAGAACCCTTATGTTACCTAAGGCAGCCAGCTGTGTTAGTGAGCACAGACTCCCATTCGATATGGCGTGGCTTACAATCTTCACTAGGTTCCCGCTCCCAACCAGAATGCGGAATGATCACTTCATCTGTCAAGGCATGCAGTGCATGGTCCACAATCTCCATTTTGATTGAGTCATGGGATGAGAGATTCCACAGGGTTCCTGGCAGAGACAACTCATCAGATAGCTCTCCAGCACCCAAGACAGTATGTTTGAAGAAGGCCAAAGAGAATCCCCTATTCCAACATTTCTCAGTCTTCCCCAATGACCAAATACCTTGTAATGATATTCAAGCTTTAGTCTGTGACCCACAATAATATATTGTACATTATGGCTCAATACAAACATACATACCATGAAGTAAGGTTTCATAAAACAATACTTATTATAAGCCATACCCTCTAAGCTATCTACACCCATTTCTCAATCCCAGCACCACTGACATTTGGGGCTAGCTAATTCTTTGTTGTGGGGAGCTGTCCTGCCCAACATTAAATGTTTAGTGTATGTCCAGCGTTTACTCATTTGATGTTAATAGCACTCCCTCCCAACCTCCCCAAGTTATGACAACCAGAAATACCGCCAGACATTGCAAATGTCCTCTGGGGGGCAAGATCACCCCCAATTGAGAACTAATGATCTATGCTATTTCTTTTTCTTTCTTTCTTTCTCTTGGAACGCTGATTGTGATCCACAAAGCTGTGTTCAATACACACTAATGGAGTATGACCCACAATCTGAAAAACCACTCTTCATAAGCAAGGACCACAAGCACAAATGCCTATACATGCCAGGCAGGCGAGTCAGGACAAGCAGATATTTAAAAGAAATTACAAGAATATGGGTTAAGTGCCAACTGACACTCAGCTTCAATTCTGGGGAGACAACTTCCTAGGTGGTGGCAGTTGGTCAGAGATAACATGTTGGAAATTACTGAGAACTGGAGAGCACATGCCCCAATCAGCTCAGACCAACCAATGCCAGGTAGCAAAATAGATCCATTGCTACCAGTTCCCACACGTTTAAAATAGAAGGCAAGAATCTGGAATTTTAAGTGAAATCTTCTGCGTTTAAAACAGTAAGCAAACAATGCTTTAAAATTTGGAAAACCTTGCATGATCCAAATCTGTGAGACGGATTTGACCCAAAGGCCACAACATTTAATCAAAAGTCAAAGGACTAGAAATCCTTCTAGTTCTCAATCTCTCTGAGGGATAACAGTGACCCTAATCTAGCAGTTTCCCTTGGGCCTAGAACTCACCAGTAATAACTTCAGTGAGGTCCATATCACGAGCCTTTCGGAGTAATCGCACAAGAGCAGGAACACCATCACAGTTTTTTATAGCAATCTTGTTATCCTGGTCACGCCCAAAAGAGATATTCTTGAGAGCTCCACAGGCTCCAAGGTGCACTTCTTTTTTGGGGTGGTCTAACAACCCCACCAGTACTGGGATACCCTTGAGCTTCCGAACGTCAGTCTTCACCTTGTCATTGCGGTAGCACAAGTGTTGCAGGTATGCAGCTGCATTGGACTTGACAGCATCCAAACGGAATCCTAGCATGGCTATAACCTCCGGCAGCTCTGGCTGTCTCCAGTTTGGGGGTGGAGGCCCTCCCTTGCGCAGGCTATCCAAGCTTGCTAAACTTCCCCGTTCATGCTGGGCCAAAGGAGCCCAATAGTACTGGTCTGGTGGCACCTCCTCACCAATCATGTCTTCATAGCTCCTGCAGTGTTGGAAGAACCAAAAAGAAAAAAGGAATACATTAAGCTGTTAAGCCTGGTTTCTTGGAGGGCTCCCATTACCCCTCATCTTCAAGGAATGAGCAACCCCAGCTCTAGCACACTAGATCTTATCTCTCCTTTGCATAAAAAATTTTTCTTAATGAGATAAGGCAATAATCTTAAACGCATCTGCAATTAGATTAAAACTGCCATTTTTTTCTGTGAAGTTTACTAGCTTGGAGGATCAACAAGCATTCGGATAGTTAATCACAAAAAAGAACCAAATCCTGACTGCTTAGTGTTTGAATGATACCTGACACCTACTAAACTTCTCCAGATAGAGATTAAAATAAACTTTCAGACAGCAGAGTTAATGAAACCAACTGACTTGGTACCACAGAAATTAGCGAACGATGTCTGAGAACAGCTCTCATAAGGTCTTAGGCTAAAGGGAAAATAAGGCATTTACACACAGGAAAGAGCTGGTGGAATAAGACCCTTAAACACATTTCACATTTAAGTCTCTCCTTACCCTATTTTGGAAATTATTAATAAAGAGATGATAGAGTAAAAGCAGTAAAGGATGTCTTAATGCCTCATGTGAGGACTTGGCTTTGGTATTGATGAGGTATAAGCTTGAACATTAGTTTGCACTAGTTCATCCCAAGGTCATCTCTGCTACTCAACAAATGTGTTTGAGACATAATTTCTAGTCTCCAATTTCTAAAGACAATACTTCCGATTCTGTCAAAATAGACACTACTGACCACCATCACATTTGGGATACCCAGTCACTATGAAAAGGAATAGACAGAGCAATTGAAGGTAAAGAAAAACATCTAACCAGAGACACTGCTTCTTATTTCAGTACTACCAACGACCACTAGAGGGTGAGTCTGTCACACTATTATTTATTCATAACCACCAGGAAGGAAGAGACCCATTATCAGTGAGCTCATCTCACTCTGTGGCTCCCACAAGAGAGAGGAGAATCCATTGTGTGGAACTCTCCAAATAAGCCCGTCGTTTGTTCCGCAAAACCACTCCCACTGTCACCAAACCCTCAAGGTTTTAGCCTGAGCAGAGGGCCTGCCTCATAGCTGTCAACATCAACCACTCAAAAGTGATTTAAATGGACAAAGCAGTTAGTAAAAAAATCACTATTTTTCAATATCAGTGAAACAAAATAAGCAGGTTATATAGCTGAGTTTTAAAAGTAGGCAACTAAACAGCATATTAAGTAAGATTCCATTTTAGTAGGGAAAAAATAAAGTCAGAGTGTCTTTACATGTATAAGAAAAAGAACTCAAAGGAAAAGCATCAAAATGTTAACAGTAGTTCTTTATCAATGGATGGTGTGCTTACCTAGTTTTGTAGTGATGATGTTTTTACTTTTATTATTATTTTAATGTAAGCAATTACAAAACAATTACCATAACGAAGATTTTGGTCACTCAAGTTATTTTTACAAGGGGATCATGACATTCTTTCCTTTGTCTTACAAATAACAAAGCTGTGCCCAGAAAGATTAAATGACTTGCTTAAGGCTACATAGCTAGCGGCAAAGGCACAACTAGAACCAAGGTCTTCTAGTTCAGTGCTTTTTCTACAAATCATTCTGCCTTACTGTTTTCGTTTGACCTTGTATTACTCTCCTAGCCCCAGAACAGGAAGCAGCAAATGTTCTTGCTGGTCAAGCAGGTTTCCAAGTCCAGTATCACCCTGGAATAAACCCAAGAACCAAGCCCAAACCCTCTTTCTTTATGTCAGTTGCCACAGCAAGGGACAACAGAGAATGACCTGGCCACCAGCACCCACCTAGATCCAATCCCTCTACTAATGAGGAAGTCAGAAAAAGCAGACTTGTCAACAAAGAGAAGAAGCCAACACCCTAGGCAGACTCCTTTGGTGATAGCTGTTATCTACCACTGCTCCAAGTTGCACCAGCTAAGGCCTGATGTGCCCCCTCACCCCCACCCCAGGAATAAAAGATGAGTCACATGGGAGTTGGATTTGCTGTCCAAAAGACACCTGAAAGGTGAGTGACTCAGGCTTAGGTGATGAGGCCTCTACCCCTGGGCCCGGCCCAGTCTACTGTTCACCAAAGCTACGTAATATGAGTAAAATGAGCACCAAGGCATTTGTTTTAGAAAGTCATGACCTCATACAGAAATTCAGCAACAGCTGTTAGGATATCCTTACCATTAAGACATCCATAAATCTTCTCCCTTAATTCTTTATCGTTTCTCTTTGCCTGGAAAACAGTCTCTGATTTATTCTAAAGCAGGATTGGCAGCCCATGGGCCAAACCTGTTTTCTGTACAGTCCCAAAACTAAACTAAGAATGGTTTTTATATTTTTAAAAGGTTGTAAAAAGAAGAACAACGGCATACAACAAAAATGATATACTGTTTGCAAAGTCTAAATTAGTTCTATGTGGTCCTTTACAGAAAAGGTTTGCCAACTCGCATTCTAAAGCATTTTTTCAAGGCAAACCATCTACCAGTCCAAAAGGTAGTCAATTACTACCTTTTTCACATCACCAAAGAATCCCCAGGGATAAACAGTAAAGTCGGAATTAGTGACCTTTCAGAGTGTCAATAATGTACCACCCTCTAAGGAAGCCACCCCCATTTCACTTTACAATCAAACGTAAGAACCTAAGCACAAAGTGTCAGGGTTTTTGTGAGATCAAGGTTTGTTTTTACTTGAGATTAAAACCATCACAGCGAAGGTTCTTATATATACCCTTAACTATCTATTCTGGCCTAAAACCCTCAACCTTGTTCTTAACACCAAACCAGAAGCTGAAGAAATTCACAAGAACAAATAGTCCATAGCCTCAGACACCAGGTTCCAAAAGGGGGTCAAATCTTAGGCAGAAAATATAGAAACTCTTGGCACAGAAACCAAGGCCACTCTTCAGAACACAGACCAAAAACCATCACAAGTTGTTTTCTATCACTAGAATATATGATTTCTACAATGAAAAAGAGACAAAAAAGCATGTCAATACTTAGTAAAATCAGAAAAGGGAAGAAAAGGGTGGTCTTCCACAAAAACAGGCAGAGGAGGGGGCCACAACTACCTCTGATCCCAAAAAGCACTTAGACGGAGAAGGAAGAGCAACCCCTTTTTGCTGTCTTTGAAAGACCCTTTTCTTCCCTTTTTCTTGCCTACCTGAGGCGTCGCCGAGGGTCAGAGGGTGTCCCAGTCCGACGGCCAGTGCCATAATCAGACATCATGCCGTAATCCACGTCATCGTAGCCCATGCTACGCTGGTCATCCTCGAGCCCATAAGGCTCTGGATGAAAACGATGCAGATCCACACTGCTCCCACCTACCCGAACCTGTGGCTGGGGCCCATAGACATCCTGTCTACTGGGTGCCCGGTAACCTTCCATGCTGGGCCTATACCGCTCCTCAATGCGGGTCACCCGGGACAGACTGCCATAGTTGTCACTGCTACTTGGATAACCATCTTCATAGTGGCGGCTATATCCATCAGGAGGGTAGTGAAAGTTCCTGGGAAGGGTAGCAGTGCCTGCTTGCCCCACATAGGGGCCAGGGCCCCCATTGCCATTCTTGCGGAAGTCACGACCCAGAGTCTGGATATAGTTGTTCGAAACTGATGAGGCATCTACAGGCAGCCCATCTGGTCCCATAGGGACTGGCTGGACTGTCCGTGTTGTCACAGTCTTCACTACTTTCTTGACCTTCAAGTAAAGAAAGAGAAAAGAAAAATTAATGAAGTGAACAACTTAAGCTTAAATTCTAGACCACTCTAAGAAAAGAAACGAACCTCTATCCCCAGCTCGCTTTACCTAGAAATGCCATGCAATCTACCACCTACCGTTCTCTCCATCTTATAGGAATTCTTCAGGCAGGAAAATTGCGCTGGCAGTTAACTATGCCTCTAAGGGAAGCTACTGCAGACTCTTCCTCATTCCATTAGATTTTCCCATATCTCTTCTATCTTCTCTGTCTACCCAGAGATCACTTTCTTTATGCCTTTATCACAGATAAGTGGCTCCTCAACCACCCTAACTAAGTACTTAGCCCCTCCCCTTAATAAAGACCATAGGGAGAACTTCTCCATCATCCCAGACCTTACACAAGTCTTAGCTTACTGTGGTCTCTGTGCGCCGAGTGGTTCCATCATCCGAGGTCTCCACAGAGACAACAGACATGGCTCCCTCTGGGTCCTCCTCCGTGTAGGTCTCCACAATCTGCCCTGGCTCCTGCATCCTGGGGATGGTGCTATACAAAAGGTGACTGTGATCCTACATGGAAAAGAGAAAAAAGAAAGAGCTATTATTAAGCCATATATACTAACAATCCATCCCAATGAGAGAGGCACTGCCTCCCTAGACACTGCATCTTCTATGGGCCCCAGGATTTTTAGAGGGGTGCCTGTCCCCACTTTTGAATTTGTACAAAAGGGCAGAAGACATAATTTCCCAGTTCTAGTCATTTACCAAACAGGAACTGAGTGAACTATAGCTATATCAACACCCAAGTGAGAGACACAGCAGATATAACTTCCCAGTTCTAGTCATCTAAGTGAGTATGAACTGTGTTCAACTGCAGCTACATCTACATCTGAGGAGGGAGCCTTCAAAAAAAAAAAAAAAAATTCACCCAATAAGAACTTTTAAGATGAACCAGAAAACCCCAATAAAAGCTATCTTCTGAATAGCTCTATGCTATTCTTCAGATATGCCTAAGGCTCAAGATCAGCCAGATTCTAGGCATGGTTTTCTGCAAAGTAGAACCATGCCCATTCTAGAAAAGGGATGCAGTAATTGAGAGATCAAATACTGGATCAATGGTCATTACAATTAATTCCAAAATAAAACTACATTTATACTTTGAAACTCCATTTTAAAATTTTCCTAAATGAAAGAAACTAATTAATGGGAGCTTACAATGTGACAGGCACTTTAGAAGACACCAATATGCTCTTAAGCTGAGGAAGTAAGAAAGATATGAATAAGCAACCCTGACCTTGAGCCAAAAGAATTACCTGGGGTCCGTTGAGTTTTAGATCTGAAAATTTCTGTCGCTCAAGGTCAACATCGCCCACAAACCGGCCGTTCTGAAACATAGCCCACAAGAAGACAATTCATTTTGTGGCCTTCTTTTGCTCTATCAAACACAAATGATCTCTGTTCCAAACAGGAAAAGGCCTTTCAAGAAGACATTTGTGGCCTGGAGTCCTTCTGTCAGTACAGATAAAAGAAGCACATCACTCCTTAGACTTAACACCTCAAAATTGGAACTGGGCCTAGAACTCTGGCAGACTGGGTCTCTGGAACATAGGAATGTAAGCTCTATGAGGGCAGAGGTTTATTGTGTTTTGTTTTGGGTCAGTTTTGTTCACTGTCTCCCTAGTGCCTTGATCAGTGCCTGGCACATAATAGGTACTCAAAAACTATTTTCTGAATAAATAGCAGAGACTCAGATAAGTTCCCCACGAAATCTTTTTGGAAAGCCATAAGAACATAAGGAAACTTGGAAAACCTAGGTTGGGGGGTTTCCAAAGCCTTCTTTATTGTTTCATGCCTCTTCATGCTCTACAACCACTGGAAACTCCCATACCAGGCAGCTTTTTAAAGAAAGAGGTAAGAAGTATGAGTTTCTCTTTCGAAGTAGAAAGAAAACAAGTATCTCAACTCCCCTCAAGCAGATGTCTCAGTATCTTCATCACCAATCATTAGAGCCACAGAACGTTCAAAAATGTCATTCTTAAGTTGCTCTGTCTTAAACAGCAGGAAATAATCTAATAACATTATACTACGTAAAAATACATTTGACTACTCCCCTTCAAAAAGAATACAGTGAGATTCAGCCACCTTGGGAGACTCTTCCCCCACCCTACTCCCATTACATAGGGAGTGTAATGCTGTAGCGAAAGGAAGTTAAACATTACTTTCAGGAAGAAGGAAGGGTGTGGTTTCATTGCTGAGCAGAAGTTAAAAATAAAAGAGAAAGAGAGAGAGAGAGAGAATCCGCGTACTAAATCCTGGAATTCCCCACCACCTCCAAGGCTGAGCAATCCTGCTCTCCTTTTCAATACATACGCCTCCCTCAACCCTAACCCTCTGTTTTTGTTCCTATAAAAATCCTAGGAACACTGCAAACACACTGCTTCCAAATTCCTGATCATCCCCAATTGGAATTATATCCTCTCACTCAACACGCTCCTTAGCATGAGGGACCTTCTCCATCTTAAAAAATAAATAAGTAATCAATGAAAGGACTTATTGGAGCATGAGCACTGTTGTTCATTCCCATCAGAGATCTCTTAAAATGAAGTCTATCAGGCAATGCCTAGGACACACACACACACACACACACACACACACACACACACACACAACCTCAGACAGATTACATCACAGCGAAGTCAGACTACAGAAACCATAGGAAACACGAGATACTTCTCATTTCTAACACCAACTCTCCCAAGTCACATCAGAGTCAGCCAACCCAGAGACCACTGGCTCCTGTGGTTATTTGGGTTAAACAGCAGCATGATGCTCCCTCTCCAACCCTAACCAAAAGAATTAACAATAACCCTTTCCTCCAAGAAATGATTTGCACAGCCAACAAAAAGAGCATGGAGCAGGA